TCACAATCAAGTAAGCTAAGGCTCTAGAGCTTGTCTCACACATTTGGAAAAAGGAATAAAAATACTATGGCATGCAGAGTCGGGTAGGTTTCCCTGCTTTTGAGTTGCTTTCAAAGCAAACCAGCCTTGTCTGTAAAGATTCCATTCTAAAGTGACAGGAAGCTACATCAAGCCTTGAGTCTTGAGGGATGACATTTTGGTGTAGTGGGTTAAGCCACCACCTATAATACTGGCATCCCATGTGTGCCACTTTCAGTATTGGCTGCTCCATTTCTGATACAGCTCCCTGCTAAAGTTCCTGGGGAAGCAGCACAAGATGGAAGGCCAAGCCTCTTAAGTCATGCCATGTGAGAGATCTGGATACAGTTCTGAGCTGTTCAGTTTCTGATTCAGTTCTCCATTAATATGCTTCGGAAAACAGGAGGATAGCCCAACTACTTGGGCCCCACACCCACATGGGAGCCCTGAAGTTCCTGGCTCCTGGCTTCAGCCTGGCCCAGTTTCAGAAATTGCAGTCATTTGGGGAGTTAGCCTGTGGGTGAAAGACTCTTTTTCTCTAACTCAGACTTTTAAGTAAAATAAATCTTTAAAAAAACCCTTGAGATGAAAATCCTAAATCATGTTTTCAATGACAGATTTGTATGTGGAATATACAGAAAACTGACTCAATAATAAAAAGACAACCCAATTTTAAAGGGTATAAAATGTCTGAATAGGCTATTCTACAAAGAAGATATGCAAATGGCCAATTATACTGTGAACATACGCTCAATATTTCTTAACTGAGGGAAATGTAGATTAAAACCACACAGAGATACATCAAAATATTTCAAAGTATAACTAAAATGGTTGACAAAAAATTGTAGGGCTTGGAACTTTTGCATCCTGCTTGTGAGAATACTAAATTATCGCTTTGGGAAACAGCCTGGCAGTTCTGCAAACAAATTTTGAGTTACCATATGATCCAGTAATTGTGCTTTTAAGTATTTAATCCAGAGGGGAGAAACTATATATCCACACAAAAGCTTGTGTATGAATTTTTTTATCAGCATTACTAATATTAACCAAGAAATTGTAACAACCCAAATATTCCTCAACAGATGAACTGATATATAAAATATGTATATAAATTGGAATATTATTTGACAACAAAAAGTGAAGGACTAAAGTATGTTGCATTCTGAGTGATCCTTAAAAGTATTATGCCAAATGAAAAAAATTACATTGGATTACATAATCCATTCATAGGATTTTCCATTCTGGCTGTTACATATCAACATAGAATGTAGAGTAATGGTTGCGAAGTGTGACTGGGCAGTGCTGGCTAATGACTCTGGAATGGGGTTTCTTTGTGGATATGAAATACGTTGAAATCCATTCTGCCAAGGGATGCACAGTTCTGTGATTAGAATAAATGGCATAACATTTTGAATCTAAAACATTAAATTATCTGATATGTTAATTATGTCCAAATAGTTAACACCATTAATGGATAGCATAGGTAGCACAAGAACATCCATTAAGTTATTGCACTCATATTTCCACAAAGGCCATATTTGGTTAGGATGGCTAGACATAAAATCTTCCTGAAGATTCCAGATGGATTACCAATGGTCTCCAACTAACTGGTTTCCTTATGTATACACAAAATCAGATGTTAAGAAGAAATGCAATCAGAACATTCAAGTCGAGCACACTTTGGAGAGAAAGGCTAACTTAACAGATCCCTGGCTGGCATTGCTTCGTTTTAGAAATGTAGATCTGAGTATGCTTGTATCTGTTAAGCTTGTCTTTATCATTAAAATGGTCATTTGGGATAATACTGGATAATGGTTAAGCATTGCTTAAATAGCATATTGTGATAATATAGAGAATAAATTAATATTGTGATATATTTACGTATTTATATCTTTATATATTAGATGAAAGAACTCATTTTAATATATTTTAGACATTCTCATTTCATATCCATCCATTACTATTTCTTCTCCTATTACTCTGTATTGGGCATTGTTAATAAATTCCCTCTGGTGATTCTGTCATCTCAGGAACCAAGCATTCATTGACCACTTCTTAGGAAAGCTACTATGCTCGGTACTGTACATACTGTATGATGCCTTCAGAGCAATCTCCACTGGAGACTTACGACTGGTTATTAGAGGCAACCAGTGAGCACAGGGAAGGCAGACACTTTGCTGATGTAAATATTTGCTCTCCAAAACTTCTCTGTCTCCAACAGCGTGTTTTATGCTTTATGACTGGTGTGCCAGAGCAGTTTCCCTGGGAATTCTTTGTGCAATGTCTTTGTGGGTCAGCAAGATTCAGAAATGAGAAAGCTCTCTATCCCTTACCTACAAACCTTTCAGAAACGGAGCATTTGATTCACACAGCCCATGGCCCCTGCAGTTATTTTCATAGACTTTCCTTTGAGTCACACTATTTCTTACACTGCAATAAAGCAATGGTAGTTTTGTCAAAGCCACACTCATATATGAACAGCAACCCTGCATCTTTTAAACTCCCACAACCGGTCTGTGAATACAGATTTTATCAAGGTTGTTTCTTTCACAAGTTTCATTCTGTTTTTGGCTAACTGATCATCATTGTGAAATACATACTGCAATCAACAACTTACATCTTCAATCCTTGAGCAGATAGAAACTTAAGGATCCTGCAATGCTTTTACACATCACATTGTGCTCAGAAGTCCAAACAGCAAGACTCATAGACTGAGGCTGTCCTTTGGGTAGCAGAGTGGCCAACATGCAGTACATCCACATCTATTATCAATTCTTCCCTTCCTTGTCACTAACCAAAGCATTTAAATAAACAGGAACAGTAATCAAATGATCATGTAAGCAAGTAATGGGAAATAATCAAATCAGAACATAACAATTATCTTCAAATGTTTAAGTGTATTTCCCCTTTGCAAATAACATTATTTTACAGGACAGCCAAGGGGAAAAATTACATATGGATTTAGGAAGAGAACTTTTTTAAGTGTGAAGCCAATTTGTATTTTTATTCTGCTTATCTTAGTGGCTTGTAATGTTCCAATTGAAGAGTGAAAACCGTATAAATTATGTGTAAAGGATAAGATTTTATATCAAAGTTTCAACTATGAAAAAAAATTATTTTTCTGAAAAGATAATTCCTTACGGAAGAATAATTGGATAACTGATATTTTACCTTGTCCTTTTTATTCCAATGTTTGACAAGATAAAAAGACCTTTCATCTCACTAAAAACAAACTGGAGCACAGAATCACATCATGAAAACACTTTAGTTTTCAAGTGGCTGTTTGTTAACATATGGCTCTGATCCCCAGTGTCAGAGAAAAACAACAGTCCTAACTTGGAAAAACTATACTCTAAACACAGAAACTTTAGAAATATTTTCTCTCCAGAAGAATCACCAGTTTTAATATTTGTGCTAAGATATTGGTCAAGGGGTTCTCAAGCCATTCCATGCTCTTATCCAATGTGACTAGTATTCAGTCTAGCTACTGAGAAAACCCCCACCTCACATTAAAGCTCCAGGTTCCATTCCCACCAGCTATCAGAAGTTGGTGACACTGCAACTCTTTCTCCACACAACAGCTCAGTTCCCAAAGGGGATGTGGTAGAAAAGCCACTGGCCAAGGAGATGACCAAAGTTGGCTTTCTGCCCTAGCCAGCTGCACAACAGGATTCAGACCCAGTTGTCCACATTTAATCGTGTAATCACACTCTTTGGTGCCCTGTGCTATTTATTGTGCTTCATAGATGATCTCCCAAACAAATGAGTGTCTACATTCAATTTTTATCAGAAGCCACTTTATTTGGAGGGAGAGGGGTTCCAAATTAAGATATTAATGTAAAAACTACCCTGATTTTTCTATTTATATGAATTGGACTGAAAAGCCAGATTTGTAGAAACAGTGCAGTAGCGGTTTCCTAGGGTTAGACATAGGAACAGAGATTACATGTAAATGGATATGACATGGAATATATTCTATCACTGCTTCATCCAATAAAATCAGTAAAATTTACTAAACTGTACACTTAAAATGGTTGAATTTTATGAAATGTAGGAACCAGGAGCTGCTTCTGGATCTCCCAGGTGGGTGTAGGGTTCCAAGGCTTTGGGCCATTTCAACAGCTTTCCCAGGCCACAAGCAGGTGGCGGGGTGGGAGTGGAGCAGCTAGGATACAAACTAGTGCCCATGTGGGATCCCAGCACAAAAAAGGTGAGGATTTAGCTGCTAGGCTATTGCACTGGGCCTGACTAACGATGTTTTAATGAACTCATTAAAAGTGGGAGTATACATAAAAAAGCTGAAAAGCAGAATTCCAATTAAACCAAATGTCACTAAACTTATAGCATGAATTATTATTTAGTGAGTACTTTATACTATAGGATTTAGCTACATTATTTAATTTCACAGTGGACCCAAAGATAAGCCTTGCTATCCTACTCTTCTACTAATATACACAGATGTTTTTTAAAGGTTCTTTTTTGAGAAGTAGAGGGACACAGAGAAAGACAAATATATATATGTATGTATACACACACACATCTTCTATCCATGGATTCACTCCCCAAATGCCCACAACAGTTGGGGCTGGGCCAGGCTGAAGAGGGCTCAGGAACTGCCTCCAGGTAGGATACAAAGTTTGGTAGGGTCCTAGGTAGTTTGATCAACATTGACTGCACTCCAGTGTGTACCCAGGAACCTGAGATAGAAGTGCAGAATAGCCAGGACTTGAACCAGGCCCTGTGATATGGGATGGGGTGTTCCAAGCAAGAGGTTAGTAGCCCCTTGTATGTGTGGAAATGTAGTTTGAGGAAGTATGAGTGACTTGTGGAAGTTTGCGTATCTCATGACTCAAAGTAGTCAGTCACCCCTGGTAGGTGACTTGAGAACAAGGTGTGTGCACGTCATCACGGTATTGTGTATGATCGCTCGTAACTAAGATTCTTCTCTTGTGCCTCAAGCATGACCAAGGAAAGTTCCATACCTCCCTGTTGAGTTTGTTTATTTGCTGCTTGGTCTCCTCTGCTTTGATGAAGAGAACAGCAGCTCCAATCTCTGGGTCTGAAAAGTGACACACACACAGAGTAAGTCTTTAAGGAATTCACATTTGAGGACTGTGGCACCTGGAATAAGAAAAGGAGTGTATCTTCTGTGTCTATGCGCAAAAGTTTCCTGCACGTCTCTGAATGGTGGCCAATGCACTAAGCACAGATGGTGACACTGAGCAGTGACTACATACTATTCATGCTGAATTTTCCATTCCTCTGAACACAATCACCGCCACGTTCCAGGCACGTTGACTCTTCTTGCCTATCCTCTAAGACGTATTATAGTCAGTGTCCAACATAGACTGTCCTTGTCTCTTTCTTTTCTAATGATTGATTGCTATATCCGTGAGAATATCTTACTCCTACCTCTTTTTCAAATACTTGTGTATTTCCTATCTCTTCCTGCCTCACTATAAAGGTAATTTCTTCCATGTTCTTGATCTTACTTTTTTCCTTTACTGTTTCAGATACTTTGGTATCAGGTGCAAAAAGATTCAGGTGAGTCAGTCTCCGCTGTAGTGGCAAGTATTCGACATATAGCTGCATCAATATGAATACCCACATCTCTCATCATACACACATCCTAATTCTGAGAAATTAACAGGAAATTTAGGGGAGAAGAAAAGTTACTAGAAATGGTCCCAAGTATTTTTAAGAAATATTTTTCAAAAAAAATCAATTCATTTTGAGCTGGTGTTGAGCCATGTGGAATAGGTTGTAGTCTGCAATGCTATCACATAAGGGCACCCATTTTTATTTAGGCTTCTCTACTTCTGATCCAATTCCCTGATAACAGCCTCAGAAAGCTGTGGAAGTGGATTCAAGTGCTTGGATCCCTGCCACCCATGTGAGAGACCTGGATGAAGCTCCAGGCTCCTGGCTTTAGCCCTGTCTTCTGCAAAGTTATTGCAACTACTTGGAAAGTGAACCAGCAAGTAGAATTTTTTTTTCTGACTTTGAAAATAAACTCATTAATCCAAAGCTGATTGCGGTTCAAATACAATAAGTGAACACCATTTTAGAGGCAGTAGTGAATGAACTATTATTAGTGATGCCAATGAAACATTTAGCAAGGAAACACAATATTTAAAAAGTAATGATGCAACAATCTCAGATTTCATACTCAGAACAATAGGAAACTATTTCAGGATTTTAATCTTATAGAAAAATTAACAGGTTTGCAGCTTTAAAAAGTTCATTCCAGGGACTGGCACTGTGGCATAGTAAGTTAAACCTCTGCCTGCAGTGCTGCCATCCCGGATGGGCACCAGTTTGAGTTCCAGTTGGTCCACTCCCTATCCACATCCCTACTGATGTGCCTGGGAAAGCAGCAGAACGTGAGCCAAGTCCTTGGGCCCCTTCGTCCATTTAGGAGATCTGAAAGAAGCTCCTAGCTCTTATTTCTGGACTGGCCCAGCTCTGGCTGTTGTGGCCATTTGGAGAGAGAAGCAGCGGATGAAAGCTCTGTCTCCTTCTCTGTAAATTTGGCTTTCAGATAAAAATATTTAAAAATTATCATTAAAAAATAATCACAAAATTCATTCCATACAGAAAATAGTGAAATTAGAGAAAAGATTTTTGTAGCAACACAGGCAAGAGAAAACAGCCAGGAGAAGAATGCCATTAGTAAGAATAAAAAGGCTGAGGGATACTTATGATTTCTTTGGCCATTGCCTCAAGCAGAATAATAATACATGTAAGCCACTGACTACATGATCAAGACCAAACTCTCCCTCTTGTATTCTCCCCTCCCTGCATGTACCACCAAAAAGTTTTACGAAGACTCTTCAACTTCTAGAAGGTGTTGAGTGTCATTAGGTAATGTGGATTGAAATTAAACTGGTACTGTACCAGACACACACCTCCAAAACTGTACATGCAAACATCTTTCTTGGGTTAGATTTTTTTCAGAGATTGGTTAATTGGTAAATGCTAATCCAAGAATCTCAGGTCCTGATGGGAAGAAAGAAAAGGATTACCCTTTTGATAATTTTGAGTTTTGCATTTTCTATGCAAATTTAACTCTTATATATGTGTTTGATAAATTTAGAAAAATGGTATTTTATTTAGAGTTTGTCATGTACGGCCTTCATCATGTTATAAGACTTAATGGGTAATGGATAAGACTTTAACAGGTAATAAACTCATGACTGAAAGTAATAAAGGCTCTAGACTGTATCTGGTGGTACTTTGCACTAACTCATCACTGGTACAGGCTAGTAATTTATGATTACCATGACTTCCAACATGATTGCATCTTTCTGAAACCAGTGCTGGTTTGAAACATATTTATTTTATTTATATACTTGAAATCATAGAGGAGAGAGACAGGCACCTGCTGGATCACCTCTAGATGGTCACAATAGTCTAGACTGGGCAAGTCTGAAGCCCGAAGCCAAAAGTGAAATCATCTTCTGGATCTCTCACAGGGGGTCACAGGGGCCCAAGCACATGGTTTATCTGTTGCTGCTTTCCCAGGCCATTAGTAACCAGCTGGATTGGAAGTGGAGAAGCTAGGACTCAAACTGGTTCCCAATGGGATGCTGGCATCATGGACTGGGGTACTAACGATCCTACCTAGGCAGCATTGTGTTTCCTTTAGGTGAGGCTTGTGTGCCTTAGTCTGAAGTGATAACAGGAAAACATGGTCACTCTAATGAATAGTACACATGTGCTTCTTGCAGCAGCATTTATCTTAGTTGATAAACAGTAGGTCATTTCACCCAGACAGAGGAATAATCAGAAACAATTCTTGAACTTTTTAGGGGACACAGACTTAAACTCCTTCATTGTTCAATAACACTGGTTAAGTTCTATCCTGGGAGAAAGAATGAAGAATGGGAAGGTAAGAAAGAAATGCCCATGTTAAACATTTTAAATATTGTCCCTCAAGGGAAGATTCAATCTAGAACTTACCCCCAGTTGGAGGAGACAGCCTTGGTTCTGATTTGATTCGTTCAGAGCCGAAGTCAAAAGTCTGACTTTCTTCACTGCTGTTTCCATCTTCAATCCCATCAACAATCCTATTTAAAGGAAATTGATCAGTTGTGCATTTATAATGATGGGTCCTTACAATTCTAGAAGATTTAAAAAAACACACCATGTTCAATATGTAGTTTAGAGCAATACCATGCACTATGATTAGCTATTAGATTAATGTAGCTATTGAACACCTGAAATGTGAAAAGCGATTACTGCAAATCCATATATAGTACAACTATACATATGCACTGGATTTTGAAGTAGTGTAAAAAGGAATGCAAATTATTTGCATTGTTTTTAATTATTTTAATTTTATTCACATTGAAAATGATAATACTTAAAATACTTTGTATCAAATAAAATTAAATAAAACTTAATGTGAGATAAAATTAGAAGCCACATACATGTTTCTGTAAGACAGCACCGATACAGAGCTTAGGCTCTTATTTATTCTTAATTTAAAACTTTTAGAAATCCTTTAACCTAAATTCATATTAAACCAATGCTCTACTCAGGAGAAAATGTTTTAGCCTAATGATTACAGTATCAAAGAGGATAAATTTAATGACATTTCCACTCTAGTCTTGTAGAAAAGGTTGAATGAGAGTTAACTATTTGGCTAAAATCTTTTTTTTTTTTTTTCAAGTTATCACATCCTGCTGGCCTATTTATTTATTTTTTTTATTTTTTTTATTTATTGTTGCTTACATTGTATTATGTAGTACAGTTTTATAGGCGCTGGGGATTCCCCCTAATGTTGATTTTAATATAATCTTGGTAAGAAAGAGCGAACCTACTGTGTGAAGAATTCAGGCTTGAATTTTCTGTGGTGGAAAAGTCTCGGAAGTTTTGATCAATTAATAGACAGGTACTAGACTGTATAAACAGCAACATATTTTCACTAGAGGAAGAGTTACAGGATGTAGACCCCTACCTTGGACTGAGGTCTGGGGGCCCAACACTATTCAAAGTTGAAAGCTGTAATTTTAAGTTTTTCTCTTTCCTTTTCCCATGGTTAGGAGTGTCAGCCTCTTGCTTGGTTTTGGGAGAATTTGAACTGGAGACTCTGATAGGTGAATGAAATGGCACTGTTCCTGAGGCCAGCTGCTTTAAGCTTAGTCCCAGGTAACCTTTGCTGCTTCCGACTTTCTTGCTGCGAGAGGAGGAAGATCCCTTTGTGTAGATGGGAGAGAGGGATGCTGTTTCTTCTTCCTCCCCGTCCTCTTCCTCTTCTTCATCTTCTACGATGGATGGCAGTCTCTTCTTGATGCTGCCATTTCCCTTGGGCTCTGACTAAATCAGTGGACAATACAGATTAGTACAAATCCAACCATCTCTTAAGAGAGACATCTTTCATGCTGGAGGTCCCACTTCAACAAAACCCAAACCAACTCATTTCTCATGAAAGTGAATTTTTCAGACTGTTATTTTTCAGGTACTAAAATTTTCCTGACTTTTGTTGTATTCCATGTTTTTCCTCTGTTTTCCTGATGTTATCCCCACTCTTAATGTTTTAAACTCCCTTGATGCAAGTCTGTATAAAAGCCTCATTGTACTATATTTTCATTTAGCTTTTCATCCATCTATTTGCAATGGCATATAATATGTTCCTTGGAAGAAAACTTTTAAATTTTGACTAAGAGTCTTGACTTTTTAAAAAAATTATAGGATCTTTAGTGGGAGCTTAGATGGAGTTCAGAGTGAAATTACATTATTCTTGAAAAAAAAATATTTCCCATGTTGAATAACATGGATGGAAAAGGACTGGAAGTGTCTCAGCCACTGAGGTTCTTTGTAGTTGCAGATGGCAAGCAAGAAGAGTGCAAACCACCTGTTCTTGCTTTGAAAAGGTGATAATGGACGTGAAGAAGAGAGAAAGCAGCCAAGGCAGAGCCCTCAGCAGTCATTATCACCGCATGTTTCTTGCTGCACCAGAGACTTGCTTTTCAGCTTTTCCAGAAGGGTTTAATTTGTATTTCTGTGTGTCATTTTCTTTTGAATGTACAATCACTTTTATCTGCTCAGTCACAATCTTTAGAGAATTTTGGTTTCTTAGCTTATTTTTATTAAAGTTATTATTTACACTTCATTGGCTTCCTTGATTATAACATCAATGAACAGCTGACTCATGAGTGTATAAAGACCTTGCTATATCTATAAAAGTTGTAATGATGGAGGTGACAAAGAATTGTGGTGACTTAAAGACTATAGCTACTGAGTTAAATGTCTATTTACTTTCAAAGTTTGTGGATTCTGATATTAATGTCTCGTTTTTCTTGAAAATGACATTCCTAGAGTAACCTTTTCAAGTGAATGTTATGAGTTTAGTTTATATTGAAATCTAAAATTCTTTATTGTGATACTTATGTTTGCTTTTTTAAAAAAATAATTTAAAGCATGGTGCTTTTAGCAAAAATTGGACTCACATGGAATATCAAGGGAATATTAACTAGCATTGTGGTAAGGAAAAATCAGCTTGCATAGCTAAAGACACAGCAGGGTAAAGTTACAAAAGAAATAAGCGATCAGTACATTCTCTAATTAGACACCTTTTCCTATTTGTGTTGATGTAATAATTCCTTTGTTTCATGATATCTCTGTTGGCGATAACAGGATAATCTTCAGCCTGATAACTTAGCAGCACTTACACTTCTGCAGATTTGAATTTCATGCTTTGGTTTTGTAATGGAGAGTTGATGTCTTAGATTTGTTGCTTTGATACTGTTAAAGTCATGGGGGCAGCAGTTGCTTCCCTAAAAAGCTAATCTCCTTGCAGAGAGGACAAGGTTATGATGAACCCTAATCAAGCGTTGGTGCAGGAAGAGAAATTCTCCAACGTTTAGATAAATATTTGGCGAAATCATACCTGTTGGACTGTAGATTTGTTTGATAATCTTGTTATCACCTGAAAGAATAAACAAAAGTTTTAGCAATCGTTTAAGCCTTTTCTAGTTATTTTTTTTTCCTTTTTGAATGGTTAATACGTCAGAGGGAGGCAGTGGAAAGACAGAAATGTTCAGGGTGTGAGTGTAAGTATGTGTGGGATCGGGCAGCCCCTAAGGCTCTACCTGGCATTGGCACAGGATAGACAGTATTTTCTGAAAGGTATCAATGACAACACCTCCTACAGCCCATGCTTTAGGACCTCTACTGGCCAATGTTTGTAATGACACAGTAGTGACCAGAGAAATGTCTACCACAGGACAACACCCAGGAAGTATCGATTACAATAGTAGGCTTGTAAGTCATATTCTTCATCTTGTTTCTTCATTTGTTAATATTCCCTTGTACTTTCCTTCTCTCCATTTCTCTTTCCTGCACTTTTTCTAAAAGTCTCTTCATGCCAAACCTTTCTGGGTTTATAGAATCTTTACTTATGTAATCTCATTTTCTCCTATATATCCTCCCCTTGATCGGATGCTGGTGTGTCTCATTTGTTTTATTCACTTTTATTCACTTGTTGTGTGAGAAATGGGATTAAGCTTATGGAGGGTTCTAGTCTCTTCAATGTAATTTAAGAGAACAGTGGTTCCAATAAAGGAAAAAATGCTGTCAAATTGTGAAATGCTATTAATTAGAAGATAGCTCTCAATTTCAGAAATGCTAACATGTTGGAGAAATATACATTTTTTGAAAAAAGATTGATTTAAAAAAATTTTTTGTTGGAAAGAGAGTTAGAGGTGTGGAGAGGAAAGACAGAAGTTTTTCACCTGCTGGTTCACTCCCCAAATGGCTGTAACCACCAGAGCTGGGCTGGTCCCAAGTCAGGATCTAGAAATTTCCTGTGGGTATTCCACCCGGGGGCAGGGGCCACTTTTCACTGGTTTCCCTTGCTGCAGGCAGGGGGCTGAATCGGAGCAGCAGGGATGCAAAAGGGTTCCCACACGGGATGCTGGACTAACAGGTGGAGGCATAGTGTGATACTCAGAACTGTCTTCGCAAAACCTTAAGCTTGCATTTCAGGATATACATTTTGTATAAAATTAAACTGTTATTATGGCCAAACAAATTAAAAATAAGCATCTAACATGATATATACAGATGTTATGATATTCTAGAAGCAAGCCTTCAGTTCTTACCTCAAATATATTTGTTTCATCACTATGTGGTAATAGATGCTATAAACTAACATAATTGTATTCATTAGAAAAATATTATGGTTGAGAATTATCAGCTTAGTAAAACTAGATGGATTTGGTAATTCTGTCACTCTTTTCCCCCTTCTAGATGATTAGAAAAACAATGATATTATTTATGCAAATCTTGGCATCATTCTTGCTATGCCAATCTATATTACATCAATGTCTGATTTTATCAGTGCAGTCAACTCATTCTACATCTGCCCAGTCTCCTAAATATGCATTAAGCAGTAGTGTTTTAGACATGTTTTGAAATAATTTTCTAAATGATGACAAAACAACTGAATAATTAAAATTTTGAAAAGTAAAAAATATGGTGCTCTTATTATTGTGGTAGACACAAAAAAATGTGTTTCTAGAAACCTTTAGGTTATACATGAATTGAATAACGATCATTTCATTGGGATCCAGGAAGCCTGATCATCTTCAGGTGAGAGGCACCTGAGGGGCATGGCAGGAGAAGGACTGGGCTCAGCCACCCAGCATTCTTCCAGTCCCCCTGTAACCACTAGTATGAACTCGGTCATGTTGCTGAGTCCAAGGTTTGTTTTTGCAAATCTGTGCTTCTCAAACATATGTCCAAGTGAATTGCTTACAGACCCCGATAAAATGCAGCTATAAAACAGGCGTTTGGTACGGTGCTTAACATGCTCCTTGGGATGCTCGTGTCGGGTATCTAAGCTCCTGGTTCAAGTCCTGGTTGTGATTCAGTTTCCTCTTGCGTTTGTATCCTAGGAGAAGACAAATGATGGGTGCAAGGGCTTGGGAACCTGCCACTCACGTGGGAAAGCTGGGTGTTCTGGGTTTTTGGCTTTGGCCTGCCACAGGCATGGGTCTCAGTGTAAATTCTCTTTGGCTCTGTTCTCCAAATAAAAATTAAAACAGATTGATTAATGTAAATATTCAGGCTGTGATGGATGAGGACTGCTATAGTCCTGAGATAAGAAAGACCAAAGGTCAGCCCACAAAGACCTTAGAAGTGTATCCTTCTATTTGGTAGAATTGAGGAAGCAAAGTGTGTCTGACACAGGATATGTTTTGATGAGGCTGTCCTGAGCAGGGGTAGGACTTTGCAACCTCGCAGATTAGGAAAAAATATGATTTCGATGATATGGTTTGAGATGTTTTTCAAATAGTGCGTTTCCATTTTGCCCTTATCCATCAAAACTCATTCTAAGAGTTCAGCAGGAAATGAATGATATTGCTTATATTGTAAAGACACTTCATTGACTTAAGGGACAGAGAAAATACAGTCTCTTGGTGCTCAGACTGTGTATAACAGAAGCAAAATAAAGTCGGTCTTTTTTTCCCCCAAACTGTAGAGAGGAAGCCTGGGCAGTCTGCTGCTGAGTTTGAGTTGCAAGTGGAAATCAAGCACACTAGAAACATTAAACATAGTTTTACATGTAAAGAATACCGTTGTATTTTCTAATACTATCTTTATCTTACTGAATCAACACATTTTCTCTATGTTAAGTTCATACCTGGCCTCAGCTAATCAACTCATCCTCCCCTCCCTCCAAAGTTTTACAATTCCACAATTTAAAATAGTTTTGTTATTAGTATTTCCATCAATTCTCTTAGGGATGGAACGCATAGGTTTTTTTTTTTTTTCAGTTTTGCTGAATCATTAAATGACTCTGAATTCCGCCAGTTGGTTAAATGGCAATAAGAGTCTCACCCTGGAGAATGAAAGGTTAATGCTTTAGAAGGAATCAGAGTGGTTGTTCAGCAGTACTGAGGCATCATCAGTAACCTTTCCTTACGCTTAACCTCTGTTAAGAAATTGACTATTATTGGACAGAAGGAAGAAAATCTTTTTTTTTTTTTAAAGATTTATTTTTATTATTTTTTCATTGGAAAGGCGGATATACAGAGAGGAGAGACAGAGAGGAAGATCTTCCGTCCGATGATTCACTCCCCAAGTGAGCGCAACGGGCCGATACTATGCCAATCCGAAGCCAGGAGCCTCTTCCGGGTCTCCCACGTGGGTGCAGGTTCCCAAAGCTTTGGGCCGTCCTCGACTGCTTTCCCAGGCCACAAGCAGGGAGCTGGAAGGGAAGCAGGGCTGCCGGGATTAGAACCGGCGCCCATATGGGATCCCGGGCGTGCAAGGCGAGGACTTAACCACTTGTGCCACCGCGCCGGGCCCGGAAGAAAATCTTAGTAGGACTCACCGTATGCACCTATGAATTGTAAACTATGACTCAGCAGATTCGTGACCCCCCCCCCCAAAAAAAAAGGTAAGGATCTATTTCCAATACCTACAAAACTCTGCAAATGCCCAATAAGCTATGAAATCTCACAACACCAAAGTGCTCTGGCAGAAATGTCTCTTAGGTTAAATGTTTAATTTGCAAGTGAGAATTTCCTTTCTGATTCATGCCATCTTCTGTTTCGTTAACAGTCAGTAACACATTAGTCAAGCCAACAAGTAGGTTAAAGAAACATACATTTTCATTCAGAAAAAGGGATTATTCCTGTCTATCATAGTCACTGGATAGCGACATTTCTTCTAGAACGATTGGCGATTTGAGATAACTATTGGTGAAGCACAGCCAAAAATATCCACATGAGTCTGAGTTAAAATAATAACTTCAGAACATCATAAATGATTGTCACATCAGAGAGGCAAGAAGCAAATCAACAGTTCTTCTTCTGTGATCTGCTTCTTCCTCTTGCAGACTGAAGTGCAGGTGCCAATAAGAAGCAAGTGACATCAATGGCAAGTGTTAGATGGGAAAAGGAAATTGAGACCTCTGGAGAAAAATAACAAACTGACTTGAATAAGGGAGCGTTAATTTTCAACTAAACAAGTCAGATTTCATCACCTTCTGATCTAAAGATGAGGTTTTTGAGGTTGTTCTGAAACCATAGCTGTGTAACGCCATTTCTGTTATGTTTCCCTTCCTGGTGAACATAGAAACAGAAATGAAGTTTTAATGAAAGAACTGATGTTGACAGTTTCCAATTCACATAGAGCTTTGAGGTCCAAACAAACTGTTAAGATGTAGGAAGAGAAATATTTAAACAAATACTACTGTCGATTATCAAAACACAAGTCAGGTAGTCAGATCTTAAATTCAGAGCGCTTTGACTGATACCTTCAAGCACCACTACCCTACTTGGGAGCTGTTTATATACCAGCTATACTACTTGCCATCTTGCTCCCTGCTTATGGCCTGGGAAAGCAGCAGAGAATGGCCCAAAGCCTTGGGATCCTGTGTTCTGTGGAGACCTGGAAGAAGCTCCTGGCTCCTGGCTCTGGATTAACTCAGCTCTGGCAGTTGCTGCCATTTGGAATGTGAGCTAGCAGATGGAAGATCTTTCTCTCTGTTAATCTGCCTTGCCAATAAAAGCAAATCTTTAAAAAGAAGAATCACAAAAAACCTGTTTATCACTGCAGCTATGTTAAAAGGTCTGTGTGCAAGGGGAATGGGACACGTCCAGGCAGTAGGATAGTGTCCTAGTTAAGATTTAGGATCTCCTTAATTCTGGGTAACACTGGGAAGTGCAGAATTAAAAAACACCGCTGATGAACAATGTTCTAAATTTCAATAGCTTAATGCACAAGAGTTTTGTTTTTCTCAGTCATTTACAGTCTGTTTAAACAGCAGCTCACTAAGAAGTGGTTTTTGAACCAGTAAGGTTAAGGCTGCTTCTGTTCTCCTGCCATCATGTAGCCTCAGCATTGTCCTAGCATCATCGAAGGGGAAAGGTCAGGACAGAGTGTGGGCAGGGCAAGCTGGGCATCTGGCTACCAGTT